CGTCTGTAAAGTTTCCTTGAAACCCACCCTCGAGCATGAAGAAAAAATCGCCTGCATTCGTGAATTCTGTATTTAGGCATATGGGGCGGGCGGAGGGGGGGGGGAGGTAGATACTCTTAATGGAGCGACGTTCTAGTTCTCTTTATGCTAACCACGAAGATGAAGTGTAACTGATAGGCTTACAGTAAACCTTAAAAGTAGCGTAATATAACCACATTTAAACTCCATTTAATTTAACAAAAACAATAACAAAAACAATAATATACTTAATTAGGCCATTTTCTAAAAGAAAGTTCTCTAAAAGTTAACCACAGAATTTACAGTACACTTAATGTGTTATAGGTTGTAAAAACTGTATTGAGTAAAAAAACATCTTTCGAATAAATATCTTTCGCTTGACATTAGGAATTAATCATTTGTGAAACAAAATGATAGGCTATGTCAAGTGTTATATTGAACAGTAGCAGATTCAATGGGGAACCCAGTCAGCACGGGACCCCATCCTCCTATTTTATTCAAAATTTTAAAGAAATGGAGAAAACAGACAAAATTATATTAAATTTTTAATCCGAGGGTGCCATTTTCGGCCATTTAGAGGTGTTATAATCATATTTTTTTCCAACAGTCGTGGGGTTGAGGCGGGTGGACATTCTATTTGCGCAAGACCTTCCCTGAAACCCCTCTATTTCGACTTCCTGGACCCGCCACAGTTGGAGTATCATTTCCGGGCTACATAGAAGGGTAATTTTTATCCATCGGGGGAAAAGTGAAGTTTTCGTCGGGGAACCCATATCAAGGATAACCCTCATGATAAATAATCCATTGAGGTCGTGGAAGCAATCTCGACTTCGACTTTGTTCAGAAATCTGTGGCGCGTTCAAGGGGGGTGGGGGTGGGGAGGCTAAATTATTTAATTTTTTTTTAATGGAGATATAAGGAAAATTTTATTCAAATTTTAAGTCTGAGAGTGTAAATTCCGTTGCCATAATCACCGTATTTTCTTACCCCAACCATGGATGGTGGGACTGAGGTGGTATAGATTCTCCATCTGCTGAAGTACGGTATCCAGTGGCGGATTCAAGCGGACCCAGCCGGCCCGCCCCTACCCCACTAAATTGTTCAATAACAAATTTTTATTCTAATTTTATGTCTGAAAGTGCAATTTCCAGCCATCTAGAGGTGCCATAATCACAAATTTTCTTACCTCAGCTCCAACCATGGTGGGGCTGAGGTAGTATAGATCTTCTATCTATGAAAGTACCTTCCCGTGCCCTTCTATTTCGAATTCCTGGATCGGCCACTAAATTGCAACAAATATGAAATCATATTACAGTAGCTTGATGTCTATAAAATAACTTATAAAATTCACCAAATTTCGTAAATATCCGTAGCTTGGTGGCTTCGCCCCTTGACCCCCACTGGGGTCCTTGGCGGCCCCCTGCCTAGATGCTCGCTTCGCTCGCATACTGCACCTTATGAAATTCCCCCCACCCCCACTTTCAAAAACGTTCCACCGCCGTTGGGTCCCAGCAGGATCGAGGGGCAGATCCCTGGTTCCCCAGGAAGCTACGACTTTTTAACGGATTAGAGGACTAATTTAATCGATTATAGAGTGTCTAGTTTCACCAGGTCATGAAAAATAAAGTATAGAAACATGAAAAGTAAAAGCTATCCTCCCTTCTATTCAAACGTGCTGAAAATATCCATAACATAGGTAGGCCTATTAAAGTTTACAGTGGCGGATCCAGGAATTTGAAATGGGCCCAGAGAAGGACTTTCACAGATGGACGGTCTATCTACCTCAGCCTCTCCATGTTTGGGGCTGAGGTGAGGTAAAAAAATTTATGATTGGCCTCTATGCGCTTTCCGGAAAATTAGAGAAAAATAAAAAGGAATACAATTAAAAGGAAATTCAAATTAAAAAAGACAGAAAAAGAAAAAAGGAGAAAACTTATCAAAATGTTGGTGAAGTCAAACTGTTTGAGTGAAGGACGAGTTGTCGCAGCTATCGGGACTTGGGATGAAGATGGCATTCTTAGACTTCAATTTGTGTAGAATTTTCTTATTTTTTTTCAATTTTTGTTAAATTTTGAAAAAAAAGGGTGGGGGCCGGGCCTCCCCTTAAATCTGCCACTGGTTTAATATATTAATTCAGTATTTTTATTTGACAATCGAATCTCTATCATGTTTATTCCTATTTTTTGTAACTTGTACATTGACGATGTCCAGGGTCCAAGCCTTTTATGATTATTAATTAATAACGTAAAGAATTTACTACCGTATTTGATACATTTTCCTAAACTCAGAGTAGTAGAAGTCATGAAAAAGATTTAGAAGCGATTAATTACCAGATTTCATCGATAAACGGTCAGCTTTATTTACAATTAATTCTTGTGGGGAAAAACATGAATGATACTGGATGAATGTGAATGTTTAATAATTTTTATTTATTTATTTTATTTTAATATTTTATTACCTAGTTATCCCGGACCCCGGAGCACTTGCCCCAGTTGCCCCGGCCTCTCAGCGCTACTGCGCGGGGTCGCCGAGAGCGGCCGCGGGTCCCGGGAATCTTCTCCACTGGTTGGGGTCTGGGGGTTGCCTAGGGCTCCAGTGGGATCGAGGGGAAAATCTCTCTTCCCACCCGGAAGCTACGGTCTTTTACGGGGAATAGTTTAATCGATTATAGAGTGAGTAATTTCACTAGGTCATGAAAAATAAAGTAGAGAAACACGAAAAGTAAAAGCTATCCTCGTGCTGAAAATATTAAAAACATAGGTATCAAAGTTTACAGTGGCGGATCCAGGAATTTGAAATAGAGGGGCCCAGAGAAGGAATTTCAAACTAAAAATGGTCTATCTACCTACCTCAGCCCCACCATGGTTGGGGCTGAAGTAAGAACATTTATGATTATGGCACCTCTGGACGGCCGGAAATGGCAATCTTAGATTTAAATTTAAGAGTTTTCTTTTTTTCTCATTTTTTTTTTTTTTTGAATTTTGAAAAATTTAGGGCCGGGCCTCAACTTAAGTCCGCACAGGAATATAATAATTCAGTATTTATTTGACAATCGAATCTATATCAGGTCTATTCGTATTTTCTAACTTGTATGTATATTGACGATGCCCAGGGTCCAAGCCTTTTATAATTATTAATTATAACGTAAAGAGTTTACTATTTGATACATTGTAAACTTACGAAAATATTCATGAAAAAGAATTAGAAACGATAAATTACCAGATTTCATCGATAAACGGTCAGCATTATTTACCATTCGCGTGGGAAAAAACCACATGAATAATACTGGATGAACGTATACGTTTAATAATTTTTATTTACTTATTTTATTTTATATTTTTTTACCTAGTTATCCCGGCCCCTGCCGGACACGGGCGCCGGGACACTTGCACCGTTTGCCCCGGCCTCTCGGCGCCACTGGTTCCATGTTAAGATGAGGTGATCGGAATTCAATTCCACACTGTCCAATTCCAAATCTGTTCTGCAGACCCGTTTTGGGATGACACATCGCCTTAGGTTTAGAATGTTACCCCGCAGGAGTAAACTACCACAGCTCGTGCTAGCTGCAGAACTATTTGGTGTGGCCTAAATCATGGCCCTGAAATGGTAACACCATGGTATTTATGATGTAAATTAAACCAAAAAAATGTATACGTTTCCCCTAAGCCCGATCGACACGAAATTATATAAATCTAGGATCGACAAGTTTTTTTTTTATGTTTTTGTTTGTTTTTTTGTTTGTTTTGTTTTGTTTTGTTTTTTTCGTTCAAGTTATTTATTAACTTCAAACTAGAAATAGATTTTTTTTTAAATCGCTGATGTACAGACTTTTTTTTTTTCTAAAAAACTGTCCGTTATTGACGGGGGCCATTTTTTTTCACATTCACATTTAATACGTTAGTAGTTAATAAGTTACTTAAATATACAAATTAAGCAATTCTAGTATGCAATAGCTCATGAGAAACAGTGCATCTTTAACATATTTTTAACCTAATGTTAAACTTTAACCGCAAATATACTTATAATGTAGCTAAAACATACTCACTATCGCGGTAGATACCATGGCCGCTCATCGTGTAATCTCAGCAAAGCGAACGAAATGCGATCGGAGAATTTTCCAATAGAAATGTCCAAGACGAAAACCATAGAGCAATACATGGCTACAAATATATTAATTGCTAGCGAGGTAGCTAAAAGGCTTTCTAAGACGAAGGCCTGCATTGCACAGTGTCCCCATAAGAACAACTATCACAGTATAGGCCTACACATGTTGTTTTCACGTCGGCATACGAGTTCTGAAGATCGTCCATGATAGACCATTGAGGTATATGTTGAATTCAGGGAAATCCCCTTTTTCGTCCGATTGCTGGCTTGACAGGGATATACGTCGCTTTGTTGAACGTAAGCCAACCATTTCAGCATTCCAAACGTTCACTATTAGCTCTTTTCTTTTTTGTTTTCAATTTTTTACTTCACACACCTGATGAAGCTGGCATTGACTGCCAGCGAAATCTTGTGTTGAATAAATTACATCAAAGTTAGTCTCATCAGAGTGCTGCCTTTTATAATCTGTGTATACTATTAGTCAGTAATTGACTAAAAGGAGGGCATGTAGGTTTGACAATTTAAGTGAGGCCTAAACACAACATAAAACACCTACAGTATTATTGAGTGAAGCCTATCACAGGATAAAATTAAGATTGAATACTTCACCTGCTACTTCAGTCGGGTACTTCCTTCACGCTAAGCCGAAGTACAGCAGACGATTTTATTTTGTAACACATCGGTTTCTTTAAGTTTGTTTCTTTGGGTGGAAGGCAATATTTTAATTGATCCTTTTAATTGCAAGAGCAAACTGATTTTTTTCTTTTTTTCTTTTAATAATTTGTTGGCAGGCAGTGGTAACTTTAACCATGGAGGTATAAAATTCTTTAACAGTAGCTAGTACAAGCTACGCCATATAATTTAGTATTCTGATTCAATATTATGAACTCGTGAACTACAGGAAACCCGATGTAAATGTAGGCCTAGTGATTGATGGTCAGAGCAGGCATTGGTTACCAAATAAAAAATATAAAAGCTGGTGAAATTGTATCCATTTGTACATAGGTGTTGCTTGTCGTTACTGTTTTTTATTTATGCCGGGCATTGCTTGATTTCAGCAGGTTTTAATCCAGTTTTCTCACAATGAAAATATTATCACGCGGGATCACGTGACTCTCGCCAAACGCTGCGCTGCTCCTCCCTTTTTTGAAAACCTTGGACTTGCCACTTGACAGGACGGCCCGAGATATTTTCCCATGAAAGGGAATATTGCCTGGAATTGAAATACAGTCTGACCCCTACTAAAGGGACACTTTCGGCATCAAAACAGTATCCCCTGGGGTGTCCCCAAATAGGGGTTAGCCATAAATGTTAAAAGATAGGCCCTAGGCCTACTTTACCTCGTTTTGTGGATGAAATTGTATCCACTTAATAGGGGTGTCCAAAAGCAGGGGATTTTACTGTATTGCCAAGAGGATATATATCTTAACAACAGATAATTGTCTATTACAGATGTCCTTGTTCCATATGCCTGTATTTCCGTTTTTCATTTGGCACATTTGCCGTCGTCGGCTTTTCCTCGATTCCGAGTATTTTATTTTTCATTTGTAAATCCTCATTTGTGTCGACGCCTCTTATGGCTAACAAGGCCGAGTTTGGTATGAAACAGCTGTCCGCAGAGGTCACATGTAATTGTCGGTGGGGGATTTTGTTGGAGTTGGCGGATTTTGTTGGAGTTGGCGGACTCGACGCATTACTGAATGCATAATTCCATGGTTAAGTGCCCTTCAAAGAAATGCCAAAACTGTGGTATATAGGCTAACCGTAAAGCATTTAACTGATGTTTGCTTTGATAGAAACCAGTACTACATGTCCTCTATAATAAGCGCCACGCCAAAGGAAATAGTATTAAACATCAATTTGTTTTTAGATCGTTTTCGACATGTATAGCCTGTTTTCCACTAGGCGAATTTATTCACGAGAATAGAAAGCGTCGGCTTATGCGGGTTCACATACATATCGGAGTTTTGCGAAGCGAAAAAATGCGCAACCAATCAGAGCTCAGGAAACGAACAGACGCTTTGATTCGCGCGAATAAATTTGCCTAGTGGAAAACCAGCTTAACGTGGATTTTAAACTATCTTGTTGTCAGACCTTTCTTTTGCTTAAAGCTAAAACTGTTCTTTCTTGTGAGAAGTATCCGCTGTCTTTCACTCGTCAATCACATACTAACCTAATGTAAACGGGTCATCACCTAAAATTATTCTTGTTCATTTACAAGACATTATTGATCTCATTACCGTATTTATTCGAATAAATGCCCCGCTAGAACCTTATTTGAAATAAACGCCTCCCTCGAGGGCGTCTATTTTTTCCTCAAATAAACGCACCCCTACCCCCAAATGCATTTATTCGAATAAATACGGCAATTTAAATGTATACGGTATGCCACGATTTTGATTCAAGCAATAATGAGTATAAATAAGTGATGAAAAAGAACAGTGTGCACAACACCAATACACAAGTGAATTATGAAACCACATTTTTATTGACATAATCTACATATTATATATTCATAAAAATCATCATTATTATTTATTCGCATCCTTATATCACGATTAGGTTTTATACCCTCTGTAACAAATGAGAAACAGGTTGATGGATTAAGGTGATTGATATCGTTTTGGTACAACTAAGTACTATCAATATCAATGCTTATACATCACACATAATGGATTGTATTAAACATTCAATAACAATAATAAATCACCATGGTAACAGATGTAAAAAACATGATCTAATAATGTATTACGTGAGCAGAAACATGTCAAGATAAAAGCTGAGGTTAGAGATGGTAAACCATTTATAGCACCTTGCAAACTCATTAGAAAATTATCTTTAAGGCCTTACAGCATTGACCACATTTGCCTAAACCTCTTAAGGTATGGTATACAAAACATCATCAAATAACAATAATAATAATTATAATAATAATAATAATAATAATAAATCACTATGGTAACAGGTGCATTCGTTTAAAAACATCATCCATTAATGTATTACGTGAGCAGACAAAAGTTTACGTTCATGATGAGGTACGTCACTGCAGCATTTTGAGATGGTAAACATTGAATTTAACACACCGTTGAAAAATATTAAAAATTTTTATCTTTAATATGTAGTAGCCACATTAGCCTCTTGGTCTGAACGTGGGTTTTTATCAACAGGATATTATTCTGAAATTGTTGCATAAAAATGTTCAGGATTGTGGAACAGCTGTTGATATCCTTAAACCATGCATTTCCTTTACCTCTTCAGATAGAGCCTAAAACACAAAATAATAATGATGGTGACAATAATAATAATAATAATAATAATAATAATAATAATAATAGTATTAATAATAATAGTATTAATAATAATAATAATGATAATAATAATAATAATTAATAATAATAATAGTAATAATGACTAATACCTAATAACAAAAATAATTAGGTAATAGATTATAAATACCAAAATATCATCCCTTTAATTTTTACATTGCACAGTAGTTTAATAATATTATACACGAGTTTGAATAACCAAATTTGGAGAACTTGCTCTTAATTTCTTGTTTTGATACCCAAACAAGGATCTATTATCATTATCCAACTTAAATATTTACGTAAACTCTGTTTTATTATTCATACGCCGAAACTCAGTTCAACGCAAAAGGGCACAGAAGCAGGTGTCAAAGAGACATAATACATCATTTCCTGTAAAAATTACTTAATCAATCAATCAGCCAATCAATCAATTTTGTTTTATTTTATTATATTATGTATTTTTAATGTTAAATTTGTATGTATTTTATTTCAAATTGCAATAAAGTGTTATCGTATTCGTATTCGTACTAATTTATATAGCGAAATCCCAACTGTCATTGCTTGTGGTGCCAATAAGCATTCATTAAGGTAAAATTTTAAGCATTGTTGACCATATATGGGCATGATGATGTCATATTACACCCATATAAGGGCAAACCAAAGATATCACATAAAAACTAATAGTGTGGACAAAACATTCATCAAAATTACAATTACAGTTGACAAAATATTAATGCTTGAATTAAATGTTTTGTTAATTTAATGGAACATAAATATTGTCTTTTTGATTATTTATTGAAACCTGTTTCCTCTTAGAGTATTCATATCAATTCTTTTTGCAGGAATTGGCATTTATATGACAGGTTCTTGGTTGCTTCCTCATTCCAATCCTTTTAAGATTATTCTTAAGTACAATAATATGCATCACTATACAAACACTTTTCTCAGAGTTCAGACCGACTGCTATTTCCCCCCAGATATACACCAAATCAAATCAAATATTATTATATGATCTTTTTATTTATTTCTATTTTATTCAGCTCACATTAAACAAGAGCAAGCAAGTTGGAGGAGATCAGGCAAAAGTACACCTATACTAGTTCATCCACCTGAACATACAAAAACGAAAGCTAATATCAGTAAAACATTAAAAATAAAAGTAATCAAAAAAATATATATATTATACACATTAACTATTATAAAACAATTTACAAAGCGAATAGTAAAAATAACAATATAACAACATTTGAATATAATTTCTTTTTTTAAATACCACACTCTGGTAAATAATACACCAAGTCTATATGTATCCGATAAAAAAGTAATCACATAAATCATAAATCAATTTATTCTACCCAACAAATTATTAAATTACAAATAAGAATAAATAAGTAACCAGTAATTGAAAACTAATAACAAATTAATTACAAAGATTAAATACTAACAAATAGATCATTGAATATTTTATACACATTTATAAAATAAATATAAAAAATTAATACTAATTTAATTGATCTTTAAAAAAACTAAAACAGGTTGGAATTCGCAAGAATATTTTTGATAAATTAAAATGTACCAAACAAATATATACCAAAAATGAACCAAATATTAATGTTAACAAACATTTGGAATACAAAAAAACACATAACTGACAAAACTTGGGAAAAACCCCTCTAGAACTATTGTTATTCTTGTGAAATTGACAACTAAAAAGTTAAAAATTTTTTTTTTCAGAAATTTCATTTGGACAATATACATAGTTGTTTACAATATTGTAGAGCTTTTAAAATTCCACATATTATATAACCTATTGTGTATTACATCACTGCATTTTGTTTGAAATAAACTGTGTTAAAAATAACTACTTTAGATTCAGCCAGTTTCCTTAAATCCAACTTAACAATGCATTCAAACTTCACCAGGCGGAAAAAGCTATTCATGTGGTGGACCAAGCTGACCACATCACAAGGAAATCTAAGAACACTACTTGAGTTCTTCGAAGTTAAAATCAAATTATTTGTTCATATTCATGTAGATTGCTCAGATAACAACAAACTTGGAACAATTTCAATGTTCAAATTGCTCACTTATATATTTAAGAACATTCTTAGCTTTCAATACGAAATGTTTTCCCTTGTCAATTAAATAATTTAAAAAAAATATTGTTTCTTTATATTTTGCATGGACCTTGGTTCAATACATTTCATTGGAAGAGTCTGTAATAATTCAAATTGAATGGTTAAAATTTCATTAAAATATAAATTATTAGACCCCTTTAAATGGCCTATTCAAAAATTTATTTATTTTTTTTCCCCAGATTTTTCGACAGACTATATATTTGGAATTTTCAATAGGTTGTAGATTATATGTTGTGGGAATAGATAGAACACATTTTTTCCCTCATATGAAAACATTTTTATTATATTCAACATTCTGTTAAACAAATGTTTACCTCATTGACTAATCGATGTTGCATTACCATTCTCTTATTTGTAAAAATTTCTGATTCTACGTGCACCTGGTACATAGCCCCACATCCTCCTGTAAAGAAAACACATTAAAAATATGATTCACCATAAACTTTTGACTCATAAATCCGTGTCAAAGAGGAACTGACAGTACCATTGTCTGGTGATAATTATTTCTTTCCCTGTATGAAGTCCTGGTTTTTTGGGCCAAAAAGGTTTGTGTTGCCTTAGACCCTCCAACCCCCAAGTTCACAATCAGTATATTGTTTTTTTCTGGAAAAAAAATATATTCTTTCTCAATGAGGAAATGGAAATACTTATGATGTTTTAAAATAGTACTTTTAAAGCTTTAAAATAATTAGTTTAACAAGCTTAACTATAGATTTAAGCACTTCACCAGTCAAACTGCATGAGGTGAGGTGAGACATGGTAGCCATTACCCAAGAATTAAGCAAACGCTGATAGTACTAAACAAAATTTTGGCCCTGTGCTGGCAAAACGCAACACATTTGGCTTTTACCATGAATATTTGAAATGATCATATGAATTGCTGGAGCTAAGAGGAACTAAACTGGGAGATAAAGTTCCATTATTCCATTGATTGATCTAGGCCTAGAATTTATTTATTCAGCTCTAAATACAGTAGACAATCACAAAGCTGCAGCCAAGGGTCACCGACAAATAATGTGATTTGCCCATATATGGGTGCGACATGACATCGGTATGCCCATATATGTACAAATTACTGAAATTTGTGACATAACTCTTGCCTGAGCTTATATCAAGGCTTTTGATGCAGTAAAAAATTGATATTTGGTACAAATATTCTAAAAAAACAATAAAGAGATTTTTGGAAAAATAATTTGGAATGACTTAACGATACATACCCTGTTTTAATATTTTAAAAACTGGTGGGAATGGGGGGCAGGGTATTAATACCACTCTTCCTCCACTTTTTGAATATTCAAATACTTGTATTTTAGTAGCTGTTTCTTATTATTTCTTCAAAAATCCTGTACAATGTCTTAAAATATTCATGTAATTCACCAGTAATTTTTTTTTCCTCCAGTGCTTCATAAATTCTTTCAAGGTTTGTATAACAATAATCTTTATATTTATATGCAAAACATCTTGGTACTTCAACGGTGCTAAACCTGCGATTCTTAGAATAAGCTGGTTATGAAACCCATTTACGCAACTCAAAAGTCAATAGATAGTAATTATATGCAATAAGTACTAAAATTGACTAAGGATGATCGTTATATTTACATGCAAAACATATTGGCACTTTAACAGTGCTAAACCTGCAATTCTTAGAATATGCTCATTACGAAACCCATTTACGCAACTCAAAAGTCAATAGATAGTAATTGTATGCAATAAGTACTAAAATTGACTAAGGATGAAAGTAAGATGATGCGGCATAATTTCTAAACTGTATTAATAATAACAATAACTACACATAATTTTCTACATAATATGCATAAATTGTAGTTTTAAAATGCTGTAACAACAAATACTTTATATAATGAATAACTAAAATTGACTAAGGATGAGAGAGTAAGATAGTAAGTCGTAATTTCTAAACTACTGTATATTAATAATAACAATAATTCCACTTAATTTTCACATAATATGCATAAATTGTATAGTTTTAAAATGCTACAACAACAAATGATTTACATAATGAAGTTCAATTTTGTTAAGATATATTTTTAATTTGATTAATTTGCTATTGCAATAGTAATGTTCATTACTACGAAAGCTATTCCTCTGAATACTGTATGCAAATAATGAGATTTTAAAAATAATCTTTGATAAATTAAAACCATTTTGAAATTAAAATATAATTTTTTTTCACCTGAAATATCCTCGACCTCTATTTTGGTAGCTTCTGGAAACTTTGATTTCAAGACATTAACAATTTTCTGTTCGCCTTCCGTTTGTGAACTTAACCATCTTGGAAATATTGCTGAACCCTGAAAAGAGAAAGAAAAACAACTCAAAGTTGGACAGACTTTAAAGTCTCTTTAGTTTTTTGTTTTTTGTTTTTATAGAATTTTTTTTTTTACTGATGCAATGACAGAAATAGCAAATAAAATTGTAGGATATATTAGGCCCTGTATCATGGGCATATCTTCAGTGAAAAACACACCAAAGATAACTTACAATATCTGTGGGGTTCTTCTAGCAGTGAATTGGGCTGTGCATCCGGAGACAATTCCCTACTCTTTTTCAAAAAGTTTATTACATTCCTTAACATGGACATAAGCCACATTGCCAGTAATCCAAAGTTGGAAGAAGTCTATTCCAAAAGATCTGCAGTGGCGGATCCAAGAATTTAAAGTAGAGGGGCCCCAGGGAGGAACTTCTCAGATAAAGGGACTAGAACATGGTTGGGGCTGAGGTAAGAAAAAGTTATGATTATGGCACCTCTAGATGATCGGAAATGGCACTCAGACTTTAATTTGGATATAATTTGCTTTGCTACCTCCATTAAATTCGCCACTGATCTGGTTAATGAGCTTTCTTAACACAGTTAATTTTATTTTGCTACACGCATAGCGATGTCTGTAAGACAACTGATAATAAAGCAGAGAAAACATGAAAAATATTAAAATATGTGGGAGATGTAGGTTATTTTTAAGAAGATACTTGCTTGCTAGCTTGGGGGGGGGGGGGTTTCCCAATATCTGGGAAGTGACTCCCATGGAGACTTGGAACCCCTGTATTGCACACAGAGCAACAGCTTGAATGTCTCATCCAAAAGATATGTATATATACAGTGTTTTTTTTTTATATTTGTATTATATAGTTCAGAGAATTTAAATATATGAAGGTAAGATGTTTACAGAGATTCTTGTTCTTGTTCTATTTATTAATCCTAACTGTATTCCGATTCCCTTGTTTGCGTCATCGTCTTCTGGTTATTTTCAGTACAGTATTGCATCTTGCATGTTTATCAGCGTCGAATCTCAGTAAATAAAAGAATGAGGATAACAAAGTCCTTATCATATATCTTGTGGTTTAAAATTCCTTCAAAACTTGTGTTCTTTGGATTATAACCAAATTGGTCCACAGCCAATCTCACTTTCCTGTACCACTAACTGTCAGTGTGGCTTGGCACTTGTCCAAGTATCGGCCACGAAACAGTAATTATCTTAACTACATAAGTTTTCCTAAAACCAAGGACTTTTAGTCAGATGAAAGAACATTTAAGGGAATTGTTATCAAAATTTCTCTTGTAATGCTAGTTTCAAAAACAATTTAAAAAGAAACAATCGGGAAAAAACTTCTTGTAAAATCTGTTTTCGGTTCTGGTTATTTTGCCCCTGGGTCACTGTCCAAAGTTAAGAAAATTTAAGGATTGCAAAATCTTTCATCTGACGACTAGAGGAATGTGTGCTCTAAGCTAGCATCATGTAAAAAAAAACTAGTCTACAATTTTCAATGTTTTACTTAAGATGAAATTTAAGATTACAGTTCTTAGGCCAGATTACACATAACAACATCTGAGCATACAATTCCTAGAGATTCTTTGTCATCAATCTTGTGAATGATGATTTAAGAAGGATGAAAACGATTTACAGTGAATCAAGAAAGAAAATAGAGCGGCGTTCATTACATTCAAAATTATATGATTCAATTAACTTCTTCAAATACTGTAGAAATTTACAATTTGTCTTTTAGAATATCATGTTAACCTGTAGCACTCAGAAATACTGGTACCAGGATGGTGTCTGTCTGGATAGTTTTACCTCTAAGTTTTTTTTTGGTAACAATTAATTTTCATCAATTAAAAGGGTTACACCTTTAAAAAGCTTTGCTCATTTTCATATTTTCATAAATTGTTATAATAGGCATACTTATTTTTTTCTATTTGTAATCACACATGTGAATATGAATGTGACTTTGTGAAATAAATCGAAGTAGTTTTTTATAGGTTAATTAGTAATTCAATTCATATATTACTGTATGACAAATGACAGTCAGTGCTCATCTTCACAATAAATTATCACGATGCTTGCTGTTGCAGGGGTCAAGGGGGTTTGCACTGCAGTGTTTCCAGAATCAGTATACAGTGCACAATTCTTCATTTATATAAGTATAACGACATGAACAATAAAACAAATCCAAGGTCTTTCCTAGACCTAGGCCTCCTGTTGAAACTGTAACGCAGTGCTGACGTGCTGTTCAGGCTGCTGTAGTAAGTTACTGTAATTGTAGTGACAACAATGTCTGATGATCATCAGCCTGAGCCAATCCGTTTTATACCGCCTTCTCCTTTGCTCTAATTTATTTATGTAGGCATAGGCCTAAGATACTATTCAAATAATTACGGTGACTTACAAAGCGACCCCTTAGAATAGATCGTAACATGCTTGTAGCACAGTTTTTGAGTTTTTTTCTTCTGATCCTTTTGAGGACACGACGAAAACGTTCACATGGTAAAGATTGAAGGTCATGTTTAGGTCGAAGGTCAATTATTGTTTAGTGAACTGGATCAACCTCAACCAAACCATCAACTTTTGCTGGTAGTCGAGTACGTGAGTACATATATGAGAACTGAAAGCTTGTACAAAATGTTATCAAATAAAGTTCTAGTTTTATCATGTTCAAAGGTATAAGAGTAACTTTACTACCATATTGTGTTATAGAGTTACGGATCCAGAGTTACTACTATTGGACTTTTTAGAATTGGCCCACATACATCCATTTTCGACTAATTTGAAACGTATGAACTATGACTAGGTCTATGAATGAGTTGAGCCTAGCCTAGGCCAGACCTCCTAGGCTAGGCCCTAGGTACTACTAGGTAGGCTATGCCTAGCTCTAGGACCTTTTTAAAATTTTTTGCCAGGCTAAGTAACTAGGCCTAGGTCGGACGTCTATTTTGTAGTAGACATCTTGAAGATCTCTTTTATCCTTGCATAGCTTTTTAGCATTGAGCCTGCAAAGTGCTAGCATCATAGTAGTAATAATACCCGTTCCAGAGTTTTTTAATTTGATGAATATAATATTTATTTAAACCATTTATTTTGTCATTTTCATAAAACAGAAAAATAATTTCACAATAAACAAGTAAACATTTGTCGGTGTCAGAATAAACAACAAACAATTTTTATTGCAGCGTTAAATATATTTTTTCTGATGACAAACATTTTCCAATGGAGGTATATTAGGTTTTGAAAAGTCTGGGTTAGAAATGTTGACAGTCCCTATATTAGAAAATATTAACACTTTCAATTTTAATATATGTGGTCATAAGCCAACTTGTGGTGCCTAATTTATAAATTGCTTTATTTTATTTTTTTTTGTGAAGTTCCTCTCCAGGAGCCTTTGTACATCGGCAATAAATAGAAACAACATCAAGTATGATAGCCTAAAACCCAGGCTTGATACAATGCTAAAGGATGGTGCTTTTAAAGGAAAAGTTGCGTTTATCACAGGTGGAGGAACTGGGCTTGGCAAGGGAATGGCAACAACGTTATCTTCCTTAGGTGCTGAGGTAGTGATTGTAAGCAGGTGAGATTGATTGGCTGTTGACATTACTACAGTATTTTGTAACACAGACCTTTCGCAACCCAGACTCTACAACTGAGATTTTGTAAATACCTTCAAATTCCATTCTTTTTTCTGTGTTATCTAGTTTTCAATGTTTTTTTCAATTCAATTAAACTCTATTGTCCATGGTGATAGGAAGTTCATCTTCATGATAACAAGCATTGCATGTGAGAACTGCAATATATAAATAAAAAATACAATACATTTACGTGCACAATAATATATAATACAGTATATACATTCAAAGATAAAAATTAAAATAAAATTAAAAGGATACATTATCGAGACACCAAAGTGACAGGCCGTAAATGTAGGCAACATGAAAACTACAGTAGATAGGGATTCCTAACTATTACAGTGCAGTTCGCTAAGTTTCACAGCAGAGTACGGTACATCTGTGTATATGTTAATAATATTTTTAATTTAGTGAGGATTACATGTGTTTGAGTTTTCATGCTTTCATTCTAGATTTGCAAATCCCATGCAATTTACTTTGAAATGAGAGTATCAATTATAGAACTATGCATTTTTAACCCAGATATTTAAAATCCTGGGTTACAAAATTTCCAGGTTTTGAAATGTCCATGGTAGAGATTCAAAGTTGAATGATTTTTATGGGTCTTTAGAGTATGTTGAATATTGTATTGATGCTACCATCTTGACTATCAATAAGGAAAATAAGTTCTTTCAGTTTATGAACTGTCAAATTATTTCAGTTGTTCATTTGTAACATCATACCAGTTTGTTTTTGCCCAAAAGGCAAAATATCATCAATAAGAATTAAGCAACTGAAGTAAAATGACACAAATTAACTACACCATGAAAATCATTGCCTGAAACCATTTTGGAAAGTCAGTTGATGTCTCAGAAAAATTTCCCATAAATCTCTGTATATGTAACGTTCTTGAAGAATCTGGCACTCTTCAGGGCAATTTTCTTGGAATTCCCTAAAGGGGGCAAAAATCTTTAGTGAATTTGACACCCTGGGTCCAAACTGTCTAGAAATAAATTTAAGTACAGGAGATGGTAACATTTCCTGCCCTGTGGCCAAATTAACTATAGATCCTTGTAAAAAAATAATTGCACAATCATGATGAAAACTATGACAAGAAGTGAGATCTTAATACAGACTACTTCTTTCTGTTTTTTTCCATCAGCAACCATTTATATGTTCCACGTATTCGACACAACAGATACAGGGACTCATTTGTAATTAACGCAATACGTATCTTCAACCAAAATGCCAAACGAAAATGAGTGATTTTAATTAGCTTGCAATGCGAATTTTACATTTTAAAATGTTTTAAATGAATCTGATTATTAATTATTTTAAATTGTTAGAAAACTTTCCAAATTTTAGTCACTGTTCTCCTTCTGGTGTATTTTAATGTTTTTACAATGTTTTCTTGATGTTTCATGTTCTTTGCCAGTGGAAAAAGAATTTCCATTTTACCTGTGTTTTAATGGACAAATAAAGTTTGATTTGATTTTGATTTTTTTTTTATTTAAACTGAAATTTGTTGAACTTGTTTTTTGTTTGCCTGTGCAATTTTTCATATGCTATATTATCATAATTTATTTTTTTTATTTTGATTTATTCTTTTTTGTTGTCTTTTTATTTTTTTCCATTTTTTGTATATATATTCTGCATATTTCTATGTTTGAGATTTACCTTGGCAATTTCTATTTAAATGATTTTTATATTCATTGTAATTCTTGTTTCCCTTATTCTTTTTACGATTTTTCTTATTCCTTTATTGTCTTCATGTTTCTGCTGTCATTTTTTATATCCAGATTTCTATTTTTGTATTTGTACTGTATGGAGCGGGCCTTTGTAGTGTGGAGGTGTTCAGCACATCTCCTTCACTTTTGTATTTGTGCATTTGTGAGAAGTTTATTAAATACATTGTAAAATGTAAATCTTGTTTATTCTATTTGCTGCAGGAAGTTGGATGTTCTTCAAAAAACAGCCGATGAAATATCAGAAAAGACAGGAAACAAAGTCCATGCATTCTCCGTCGATGTACGTGACCCAGAGGCTGTGTCCGCAGCTGTTGACAATTGCGTTGAAGTGGCTGGCTTACCTCAAGTGGTTATCAATAACGCTGCAGGAAACTTCATATCTCCAACAGGTAATTTTTTCTCTCTCGTCTTCTTAAATTGTTTGAAGATCAAGGGAATTTTCTCATCCTTTTTTATGAATTTGTGTAAATTATCATTATTATTAAATAAGCCTAAATTGTCATAGCTTCTGGGTCTTCACTCCTTGGACCCCTCCAAAGTTGGTATGCTCTCATCAGGGAGAATTATAACCTCAAAACTATTTTACTTATTAACCTTTACTTTGATTGGTTACCTTACAGAGAGGTTGTCGCCAAACGCCTGGAAGACGGTTGTCGACATAGTCCTCAACGGTACAGCTTATGTAACGCTAGATATCGGAAAAAGGCTTATCAAGGCTAACCAAGGTATCAAGTTTTTCATACCAAGATACAGTTTGTCAGCTGGGAAATGATGCATGTTTTCTATGAAGTAGAGCAGCTGTTGCTAGTTCTAATTCCAGATTTAAATGATTTTAGACACCACTTTTTTTTCTCTCTCTTAACGAAAAACAACTTCCTAGGCCCATAAAGAGACTTTATAGAAGATCATTTCTTCCTATATTTAGCAAGTTATGCACTTGCTGTTGGATGTGAAAAAAAAAAAATTTCAAGAAAGATTTTTAAGAGATGTCTCATATTGATTTATAAGCAATTTAACTTTAAACAGATCATTCATTGTTCAGTGTGTCTCTTCTACGTATTTTTTCTTTTACTTTGAATACTTCTGTTTTTTTTCCTTTAGCCTACATGAAAAGCAATTGTGTTTATATTTAAAGTCCAGACTCCAGAGGAATAAAATGTTTTGATATGTTGTACAACTGATTTTTTTAAGACATAAAAAGGGTATTAGATGAAAAACTCAGGAATGGTTAATGAGATACAGGTTTTTAAATATTTAAAAACTTTAAGAAAAAGGCCGAAAAAAGGTTGATTATGCCCCTTTTTGCTTCAGTTTGTATCTCATATACAATAAACAAGTTTTTCGTCAAACACCCATTTTGTGTATTAGAAAAATCAGTTCTACAACATATCACAAATTGTTTTTCCCTCCATAGCCTGGCTTTAAAGTTTTTATTATCTTTTTACCACCACACTGTAGCTGTCATGGAAACTGCATTTCAATCACAATGTGAATGACAATACAGTTTATCTGTATATGTACTATTTTTATTTTCATTCAGTTTTACCATCAATATTATTATCATTACTATATTGTATTAATATTACTAATTTTTCAATTTTATTTTGCTGTCATTTATTCAATAATAATATTTGTATAATAATAATAATATATATTCATATTGCTATTATCATTATAATGTGATTGAATTTGTAGGTGCTGCCTTTCTGTCAATCACTACGACTTATACAAATTATGGATCTGGCTTTGTATCACCAAGTGCAGCTGCCAAGTCAGGCGTAGAAGCACTAAGCTTGTAAGAACACTTAAATATGTGTGAAGAAAATGAGATAATTAGAGATGAATGCTAGGATAAATAGGACGAGGCTTTTTTAATACGTTGTTTAGCTTTTTTTTTTTTTTTACGGTCGTCAGAGGAATGCGGAAAATATAAAATAAAATTTTGTTTTCTTATTTAGCAAAATGATTTTTGCCAAAAGCACTAGGCCCTAGGCAGAGGAGGAAATCAAAATTAAATTTTAATGATAAATGTAAACAGTGTAGTAATGAGATTGATAAATGCTTTTAATTTATATACAGTAATTAAGGAAGAAATATATATAATCTTATTTTTGTAGATTTCAGAGGAGTGGAGGGCGTAATAAACATAAAGTGTTATTTTTTCATAGTTGACGGTGCGTTAACTGGCTGAAATTTTATTTTTATTCGAAATCACCATTATTGACGGTCGGAGGGTTCGCTAAACAATGTATAATGTATGAAAAAGTCTCACCTAAGCAAAAAAGAACCTATGTATATTTATATTTAAATTAGGTATGCTGCCTAGCAACATATGAACACAATGTAAACAATTTACCATATTCATTCATGCTTTTAAAATCAGATGTAAAATCCATGAAACTTAAATACTAAAATCAAACATTACTGAACTAAGTCTCTCAAATGAAGTCTACAGAGACCAGGGCTAGGCCTAGCTAGCATTTTGCTGCTAAATAACATTGCAATGTATTTCATATATACTTATAGAATTGGTATATTTGAGACCAACAACTTGCAGAATTTCCATTCTAAGCCTTTGAAATTTGAGGTGGGCTTATTCCCAAGTGCATCATTTTCCATGAGTGTTTCTAAAAAGTTATGGTGTGGGGGCGATACCTGGAGAAACTATGTTATTATAAGTGGAATCTGTTAATACTCACAGACACAGTGAGCTTAACATATATATCCCCTGAATGCCTCATCCATATATTCAATTCTGAATAATAAATTTTAATATTTATGATTCGATTTTGATATTATTTTCACTGCAGATCATTAGCATCTGAATGGGGCCGTTATGGCATGAGATTCAACGTAATTCAACCAGGTCCAATCGAAACTAAGGTACGCTGATTATTATTACTCAGCTGGGCTGTGTAGTCTAAACAACAAACACAAATAGGGGAATACTTTCAGTATTACCGTTTATGAACAAATAATATTTTGTATTTCCTTTCAAAAGATAATACAACCATTTCCTGTTAAGTTACGTATAATATTTATTTAAGTTAATTTTGTTAATATTAGATATTTCATTACACTAATAAATTTGTCACCTTGGAAAGGGTTCAGAAATGGACGGATGACAGATGGTGAGCCCAAAGATACCGCTTTTAGATTATCCAGTTGTTAAAAATAGTAAAATATGTCTAATTAATAATTTGAACTGCAGTTTTTTTTTTGGTTTAGTGTTTACACACTTGTATGTACTCTTGTGCATGATACAAATGCTTTGTGACATGAAAGAACTGCATAAATACTTTATTAGTAAACATAATACATGTACTGTAAGGCAGTATAAGGCATAGACACACGCTCCTGCTGAGAGCCTATTTAACCATGTTGCTGCTATGTATGTATTTTATGAGTATTGAATAAATATACCTCAAATAATAATAATAATAATAATAACCATAGAAACACCTGGTTGCTTTTCTATATAATCCTTTTGTATGAGTTGGTTATATGAAAAATGAATTTAATCTGAATATTTTTTTTTCCTGCACTGAAGACAATTCGCAGGCTCTGTCATTAGTTGTTGCATAATTTAAACTAATTGGTTTAGTTGTTTTTTTTCTTATTCACTTATAGGGGGTTTTTTCTAATTCACTTATAGGGAGCATTTAGCCGATTAGACCCTACAGGTAAGTTTTCAGCAGAGATGTTGAAACGTATTCCACTTGGTCGGTTAGGTGAGGTTGCCGAAATTGGAAACTTAGCAGCATACATGGTTAGCGATTATACAAGCTGGATGAACGGTGCCGTCATTTGTCTCGATGGAGGTGACATGACCTACGGCTCGGGAATGTTCAATAAATTGACAGAAGTAAGTTTCTCCTTAAATATGATTGAACCAAGACTTTTTGTAACTTGCTTAGAGCCCGCCGCCTGCCAATGATGATGATTTCAAATAAAAATAAAATTTTATTTTTGGCCAATTAGCGCACCCGCCGCCACAAAAAAATGGAAATTTAAAAAAAAAAAAATGTTTTTTTCTTTCTTTTTTTTTAAGCCCGCCGCTGCCTTGAAATCTCCAAAAATATGATATATATATATTTGTGGCAAAGACAAGCCAAACCAGTCACTCGTCGCAAATCCTGTTTTGGAGATAATGGCCAAAACATGCTGAAATGTCAAAATTTTGGAAATCTATTTTATTGCACTAAACTAACCTTTATATATCTATACATCATGCTATGCTGTTATTTTCCTCATTTTCAATGTTAAAACAACAATTTTTAACTATTTGGTGTTGGTTTCTGCCTAAGAAATGCCTGAAATCGTAAATTTAAAGACTGATTTCTCAAATATTGTTCTTTAAACAGCTGTATGTTTAAACTCGTGTAGCTTCATAACGAAGTGTCGGATTTAAATGATTCTTTTACCATTTTATAACTCTCATTTTACTGTTAAACACTCTAATAATAACTAAAAATTGATTTTTCCGACGAGTGACTGGTTTGGCTTGTCTTTGCCACATTTCTTCCTAATTATATAAATTTAAAGCATTAAACCATCCTATTTCAGCACTGTTTACTACCTACCAACAAAATGTTATTTTTATTTTCTCCTCTGTCTGGATGTTTTTGGTAAAATTGTTTGCTAATAAGAAAACAATAATGTTTTTTTTAATTTTTTGTCTTGGAGTGTATTAAATGTTTTTGAAATTAAAGGCCTCTATATTTTTCATTGTTGCATTGTAAAGCTACCCTTATGTCACTTATCCTTGTGACTTGACTCATTAATTACCTCATTTCATTTATTTTTATGTTTATACCTGAGCCTAAGGGCCTCTTTTTTATTTAATTCTATTTTTATATATCAACTTAAGGGCCTCATTGTCATTTATGTTTATGTTTATTGCTCAGATTAAGGGATTACAGTATCTTCTTTATATTTGTAGCTCATATCAAGGGCCTCTTTAGAACGTTGAAGTAGAACGTGTCTCGTTTTTATTGTATTTATGTTGAAGGGCCTCCATACCTTGCATTGTGTTTATTTTTGTAGTGCATATAAGGACCAAAATATCTTGCATTGTATTTTATTCTTTTGGCAGCAAAAATAAGGACCTCAGTATTTGGCATTGTATTTAAGTTTGATTCACAAATAAGGTCCTCTATAGGTTTCACTTTATTTATTGGTATCGTATCTATTGTACAAGTCAACACACTCTCACAATTCATTATTTTTACCGTATCAGGAATAATAAGTCTATATTTACAAATACTTATACAATACCAAAATAGGTCCAGAAACCCAACCAAAGAGATCAGTGTCAGAATAGCATGATCAATGAAGAATAAAGTTGTGGTTACTAAATTTGGTATGAACAATTGATTGACAGGAAAAGACGGTATTTGAAAGAAGTGAACTGATAGTGGTTGATGAATAATGCTTTTGTCAAAATTGCTGTATGCCCTTATGTAGTCATGATGTGCCTATATATAGCCATCATGACCATATTTAGGCATATAATTTTTTTTTTTCAAATAAAATTTGATAGTCCTGGCAGAAATATTTAATAGTGTTTAATATAGGTTATTATTAAAAGATAACCATTGAAAAGAACACTTAATACAGACTAAAATAATTAAAAATACACAAGCTTTCATTCACACAATAAATTTCAATGATGTATCTAAAGGACGGGGGCCGTAATTGGAGAGATTCACCCTTGAATCAAATTGCAATTTTGAATAGAATTGATGAAATATTGATAAGATCAAAATACTGAAGATTGATTGGTAAAACTAAAATAGTTGTGATCAAAATTTATTTTTTTTCATAGGTTACCAGTGATCAGTGGGACATGATGGCAAAAATGATAAAACAGGTCAAGGGGTCATGAGCTCAGAAGTTCACAGGTTATAGAGAGTATATAGTTATGTCGTCAGAATGAAGATAGAGTGCTAATAGAAAAACTTGTTTTCGTGTCAAAATATTGCATTTAACAAAGATTCTCCGGGTCAATGCTGCAGCATACTTTTGTGTTTCTACTCATGAGGAATTAAATAATAATTATATAATTGTATTTAATGTTTATTTTTTAATATAATTATTTCTTTAAAAAATATGATGCCTATTTTTGGGATATAATAAACTTGAACAATATGAATCAATATTTTCTGTGTTTAGTAGGTTTATGTAACTACATTCAATTAGAATTAGAATGAGAAAGGGACCTTTTCAAGATTAAATCAAATTTATTGTATGTAATACGAAGTATATAAACAGAACATTGAATTTCCTGGCAAGATCTAAAAGGTAGAAAAGAAATTTATATAAACACCATGTTACAATGCCAATAAAAATACAGTCTTAGAAATAGACATCAAATACTAAAAGGAGAAAAAAATCGTGAAGAAACTTTAAAAACGAGCAACATTTCTAAGATCTGTAAAACTGTTAAAACTCTGTTAAAATTACGAGATTGAATTAAAACCTACTTGCACATTAATTAAAAAGATGGATTCTATTTGGCACAAATGAGTTTCTATATCTACAATGCGATGTTCTTGGGGGAAAAATTCTGATGCCTAATCTGCTAATCTGTTGTAATTGTAAGCAGAGTGTAGAGAATGTGTCGGATCTTTCATTATCTAATGTAATTTAATGGCCACAGATTTTTAATATATTGATGGTATTTTTGTAAGGTCAGCAGTATTAAGTATTATTTTCCGCTAAGCCCCGCTCCTTGGATATTGTTGCTAGGTCCCACAAAACCACAGCGTAAACGTACCAGTACATAAAAACATGTGGTCTGTAGTGATAACCCTTTTGTTTATGGGACAAGCGCGTATTCTTGGCCCTGTTCTGATTGGACAGTTAAGTTTGATTGGCACTCCTTAAAGGTTCATAAACAGGTAAATAAATAATACTACTGTTCCAATTGCTAAGACATTAACATTTTGGCTGGTAATGAATTTAAAGATTTTCATGATAAAAAAGTCAGTAAATTAGTGAAAACTAAACTGCTTAATGGAGTTTTAAGACCGGCCTCTTGGATGTATTGTTGCTGACGTCACACAAAACGAGTCTAAAAACATACATAAACGCGTGCGTTTGTGAGACAACACGTGTGCATGTAAAAACGCGCGTATTCCTGGCTCTGTTCTGATTGGTCAGTTGTTAAGTTTGATTGACACTCCGAAACGGTCTATTATAACACTGAATTGCTCATTAAGAAACATTATTTTTGCATCTGTGACATATTGAGAAAAATATTTATCTTAATTTTCTTATTACAATTATTCATAATATCATGTTGTACAAGGAAACAATTAAAGCTGTAATGTATCTCGGAACAAAACGTAATATGATAAAAACTGTCGAGATTTCAAACATAAAGCAGCCTGGCTCCCACTCGTTCGATCTGATCCAAAGTCTTCAAGTTACTTTTTGGTTAGGCCTACTTTACCAACTTACCACACGCTACAAAGTTGATTTCTCTATTTTTCTCTGTGTTTTTCAAGTTGTTACCTTAAAGTTTGATCTCCATAGGTTCGTATCTGTGCAGCTTAGCTCAGTCGGAAAAATATGTGGTAGTCACTGTTTGCGCTAAATCGTGAAGAATTTGCTCCCCGGTTCAAATCCATTCTCATTGTGTTTCACGTGGAGGGCTGAAATGCAAGTTTCAGTAGCCCATTGTCTTTCTGATGAGACGTTGAAGCCGTTGGTTGGTTGTTTGGTTGTTTGCACTTGTGCTTGTTAAAGAACATAGTACATTCATTTGAAAAGATTTTAGATGGTTGTCTGCCGGTATACTGCCCAATTCACCAATGAAAATTTAAGTCTTCGGACTTACATTTGTCATTCTTGATATATTTAATATTTCAAACATAATATCTTCTATTAAGGCCTTACTGTCATTTAACACTTTATTTAGGCCACCAATTGACGCACTTGATACAAACTAATGCATATACAAAGTGCAAAAATGTAAATGAAACGAAAAACCAAATTACAATAAAAAATTTAAGCAGACAAATGGGCTTTGAATTCAAGCAAAATTCACGAATGCATATAAATTAGACCTACAACTGTATGGATTTACAAGACAAAAACTACTGTATACTAGGCCTACTCTAAAGCTATAAAGAATTAGAATTATTATTGCCTGGGAACTTACTGCGAATGGACGTTTTAGGGGAATTCCCTTAACTTTTCTGCCGTCTCAATTGTCACATTTATCATCTGTTCGAGCATTCCACTGACCTGTTTGAATCCAAGCTAATTTTATTTATCGTGTACTTTTACAAAAAATAATTTTTTTTCTAATTTGAATACTTTCTAGAAATATCTCTGTGCATATCTTGGTGTTAAAACTATACTAAATGAGTGTTAAAACATTTCCGGGTGCTTCTTGGGTCGCTGGCTTCTAATTTTGCAGGTGTATTGATCACATAATCATGATTCATTACATAAATTATGATTTATTACATCATATAGTGTTACCTTGGGGAAACCTGTTTCTAGAATCATGCTATTAAGTGGCAATGGTGAATCTATGAAGTGGGTTCATATAGGATGCAATGTCCCCATTACGATCTAAAAGAAATATATTATACACGATGGAAGCATGGAATGAACTATGATAAGATTAACAAATAGTGTATAAACAAAATAGGCTCCCTGCGGGAGCGTTTGCTGTTTTTACTTTTCTGCAGTAATAAGGCAACACATGAGCATCATGCACCTCCATCGGATTTACACTTTCAGCCATCTTTAACTGCCAGACAACAAAATAGTGTCTTTGCCCCCGATGGGGCATAGACACAAAAACAACCCAAATCTACTGTAAGTCAGGGGCGGCGCCAGGAATTCCCCGTCGAGGGGTCCAGGACCCTGACAAGGGGTCCACGCTCCCCGACAAGGGCCACCACCACCCCACCCCCCGGTTGGGGGAAAATTGTGTTGATTATGCTATTTTTTATTTGGATAATTTCATAGAAAACCATGCAAGGTAAGATGCCGCCTGTCGGGGGTACTAACCACCTGTCGCAGGTACCAACCACCTGTCGCATGTACCAGTCCCCTGTCAGGGAAGATCTAGCGCACCACAGCAACCCATAGGATCGCGATAGTATACAACACCTCGCACATACGGTACCCGTAGCGTGCTGCTCGCACTTAACAGTTTTTAATCCCTAACATTTGACAGCTTAGTCAGGCATACCTAAATTGTACTTTTTCCCCGATGAACTTGCTGGAAATTCCCCAACAGGGGGTCAAGAGTTCCCCGACCGGGGATCCTTTGCCTTCCCCTGGGTCCCCCGCTAGCACCGCCCATGTATGTATATTGAACATAATATGTAATATATTCATTATTCAAATCATCTGGTTTCAGTATATTACCAGTTTTTTTGTAAAAAAAAATGGAATAAAAACGGAGTACTTACGAATTGTATCACAATTCTTTTTCAATTGACTGGATATTTATCGACCAACTGATGATGTCCTGACCACTGATGTGTAACACCTATTTCAGTCAGTTGAAAAAGAATTGTGATAAATTCGAAACGCCCGAGTAAGTATTCCGCTTTTATTCCAATGGTTTTTCCAAAAAAAAAAAAAAAAAAAATAATAATAATAATAATAACTTTTTATTTATTTAGGCCTATTTATTTATTACATATTCGGGACAACAAATCAGAAAATGGCAAGAGGGTTGCCAATAGGACATACCATGGGCTGAGAGCCCAACACAATGTGTGGGTATCCTCTAAACCCCCTGGCCAAACGAACATACAATAAATAACAAAACAGCACAAAGGCAAAGACGACATCAGAATAAAATAGCCAATAAAAAGATTGATAAAATAGGTAAAAAATGTAACAGAACTTATTTATTTATCACTTAGTTATGTATTATTATGATGAATAAATGGAGTGATTCCACCACAAAATAGAACAAACATTTTCCCCATTATTAGTTCTTAAATTGCGAGAGTTCCAAACATTTTGGGTAGTTATGAAATTTGAAACATAAATTAATGTACGGTAGGCTTAAATCAATTACGATGTACCGGTACTGTACTATATTTGTATTCCAGAGTGCAAGGTTGAAATTGTGATATTTCCTCTGCATACAAAACCAAAGTCGCCCATGGGCGTCGATCGGTGGGGGACACGCCTCCAAATATTTAAGTGGGAGGAAAATCATTTCCTTCCCCCCACCCCCACTCCACTATTCACCATTCGTCTATAGTTAAAACCCCACTGCGAGTGGAAAGAACAACAGTTACGAATGACTAAGATAAAGCATTATGTTAATGAATGTTAGTCTGCAAAAAATATGTAAGTGGAATATTGATTATCAGTTAACCACTGTTCATGTTGGCGTAGTGTGGAAATTTGAATTGTAAATTGTTATTCCGATGGATTTTTTGCGTCAGGAGAAATATTGCGAATCAAACACCGATTTGTAAATTGTTACTCTTAATATCAGTTAAATACGACTTAAGAAGCTAAAACACCGGAGCTTCTGGGAACCCAACTTGGCCTTTTCCCCTGAACCCCACCGGACTCTAGGCGTCCCCAGGCACCAGCCTTTATCCTATACTTCCCTTTACCATTCGTCTGTCTCCCCTCCCCACTTTCAAGCTCCAATCGACGCCCTTGAAGTGGCCTGTAATTTGAGGTATCACTATTCTTCAATTGAACCCATTAATGTAGTTCACACAGTTCACACGTAAAAGTTCTTAAATTGTTTATAGGGCCACCAATCAATATACACAAATATCAATGGAGGGTGGTCCCCCCTAAACACTAATCTGTAACAATACCGCCATAATATCATCGTGCGTTGGCAGTTTTTATTTGTTCATTATCGGATAACATTTCTCTTTTGAAACACTAGAAGTATAAAATGAATGTGTGTTTATTCAATGTTATTAGACCGTGACGTATTTTTAGACGTTTATTTCTGTGCTCGTCCCACGCTAATATTTTAATTTTTGAACAATCTATGGGGGGTGTATACCTAAACACTACTCTGTAACAATACCGCCACCACATCGTGCGTTGACAGTTTTTATTTGTTCATTATCAGATAACATTTCTCTTTTGAAACACTAGAAGTATAAAATGGGTGTGTGTCTGCCTATTTCAATGCTATTAGACCGTGAAGTATTGATTTGTAGACGTTTATTTATGTGTTCCTCCAACGCTAATTTTTAATTATCGAACAATCTATTGTTATTATTTCCGCTTTGTTGTTTGAAAAAAAAAATCGGAAAACCCCTGAAAAAATAAATAAGAGAATAAATTAGATTAAGTGTATCAATTCCAATAAAACACAAATAGAAATAAAAGTTTTGGATGACTAATTTATTTTTGATTTTTATGGAAATTCGTAAATCGATTACCAACCAATGTAGAGTAATTATGAAAATAATATAGGAACAATGTAATGTGTTAATTGCAAACGCAATGCATTCATTAACCTCGAGGGCAAATCATAAATTTCAATTGTAGATATACTGTAAATGTAATTGTGATACAGTGCCTTGGCATTTAACAAGGGCGGATCCTGGAATTCACGGGCCTAGAAAACCCGTAAAAGTCGAACCGACTACCATTCGACTGCCTTACCAACTGATATAGGCCTATGAGGTGACAACTTATGCATAGGACCTATTTATGTAGACGCAGTTTATTTTTGTTTATTCAATGTTAATTGTCAATGATATGAGAGCAGCTTAGCTCAGTCGGCTAAGCTGGTGGAGTCACTGTGTGTGCGCTGAACCGTGGAGATCTCTTGGTCCCGGTTCAATCCCCATTACTGCTCTCATTGTGTTTCAGCTAGAGGGCTAAAATGCAAGTTTCAAAGTGCACCATCTTCGTTGGCCCGTGTGCAAAATGGCTCATGTGCACGTTGAAGAACGTGAATATATATATGTCACAATTGACTTGATTCGAATGTATTATTATTATTATTATTATTACTATATTGTATTGTTCTTACTGTTGTTATTAATGATATTATTCTTATTGCTATTATCATCATGTTGAGAATGGAACTCTAGAGGGACACTAAAAAGTATGTGCATATTAATTAAGTACATGCATATTTAAAAGGGAAATACGTCATAATGTTGGACCCTGGGAGATAAGGTGGAAAATTTTTGTCTAGGTCTCGATTGAGAGCAGATGTCTCTAGGGAGGCCTAAGTTAAGGGCCTTAGATGAGAAAAGCCGAGTTGGACAAGGTCCATGAAGACTGGCTAATGTTGAACTAATCTCTTTCTAATTCTTAAAATAACCATAAAGTTAATCTGTTAATTCAGAAGAAAGACAAGAATTGAAGAATTAAAAGGATCTAGGAAACAAAATGTTTTCAGGGGGAAAAAACGTTCCAGATCTCCTTCTCAGGCCGTCAAACTATTTCATTCAATGTACCCCTCTTACACAAACAACTAAATCAGCCCTGTTGGAGGACTCATCTGGCTGGGCCTTATCAGTAAAACTATATACTTAAGACCTATTTATTTTGATAGACCTACTAATTAATATTTTCTTTTTCCATTTTAATAATTAATTTAGTACACTTTGTGAGATTTTTTTTGTTGAAATATGGAGATCGATTACTGTTTATCTCCATCCAATCGGGTAAACCCACACTTTATGCGGAATTTTTCCCGTGAAAATTCCCCTGACGCCCTGCCTTAGCAACTTCCCATGCGTTTGATATTTTAAACAATTATAGTCAAGTTCTGCCTACAGTCAAAAATTCTCACGGCACTGTGGGTGTCAGGGTATAAATTCATATTTATTTGGCCTGTGGGCAAATTTTTGACACCATCCATTTCAATTCACCTATTGTAAGCCGTCAAAAATTCTCTAGGATATCTAAAAATACTTTGGACTCTGGATTATATTATTACTTTCTTGATCAAAAATACTTTACGATAGGCATAGCCAATAGACCTATACGGTACCTATGGAAGGAAAACAAGCCATCCGGAGTGTCAAACTAGCATGGAAACTCATCAGACAGGTGCAGAGTCGATCTCTGCCCACTGCAGTGGCGGCGCCAGCGAGCGGGGGGAGGGGGAAGCAGGGGATTAAGCCCCCAACCGGACAGGTCAGGCGTCAACCCCCCCCCCCCATTGGACAGAGCTCGGGCAGTCGGACTAAAAAATATATAAAAATATGCCAACGCCAAGACAACACATGTCATGAAAGGAGTGTCATTTCTGGCCATCCAAAGGTTCCTATTCTTAAAAAAAAAAAAAAAAAATCTCATTTGCGAGGGGGAATACCCTCTCAAACCCTTCCCCCAGCTCGGGCCTACCAGCCCAAGTCCCCCTGTCTCATCCCCCAAAAAATATATCCTAGAGCCGCCACTGGCCCACTGAGGAGTTTCGAATGTGAACGAGATAAAAATGACATCAAATTGTATTGAAAATGAGAACGATCAGCAATAAAAATAACAAGTAATAGCATATTTGGATATTCAAGAATATACAACCCTTGAAACTTTAAATGTCACGTGCTTTTTTTATTCAGTCTTATTGAGTATTTTAAAAAATAGTTTTCTAGCTCAGGTTGTTTAATACCATAAACTTGACCCATAAATAAATATTTCACAACAATCGTTCTATTTAAAAAATTCACCACATGGAAGCTTATGACCATACATAACGTATTATATCTATGACAATATGCCTACTCTTCTTCTAGTCGGGACGTAATCTATCATATTATTAGCCTAAGCACAGTATCAATAACACAGGATAATGCCTAAAGATAAACACCATTAATTAGGACTTATTATTTTGGAATTAGTGGAAACGAAATACTAAGTTAATCTGTTTTGCAACACGGTTTAATAATAGTCACAGTGTCGCAATAACTAAACCATTTAGACCTATGTATTCTGTATGTAAAGAACACTTGATGTGAATTAACTTCGATATTTCCTATATGTCACATCTTTGTCATTTCTCTGGCTATTTTTAGAAACTACAGTACGTTACAGTCGCCTACGTATCGATACAAAACCAGTGGTGATTCTGTTTAATTTTCATTCATTATAACCGAATCAGCAATTGCATTTTTTCCCCAAATATGTGAACGTATTTTCTTGTATTGATGGCTATCCCGTCGCCTAAATAATAATTCTTAAATCTAGGCCAGTGGCAAAAGAGGCGCCCCGCTCCCAACATCCCCTTCCCAGCAGCACCAAAAAATATCATTAACAACCAAGTGTTGAATCATTTAATTTGACTAATATTCTTGATTTGTACAATGATCTATTTGTTTTATTATGATTTATTTTTATTCGGATGTTTTTCACTTTTTTCACTTTCAAACACCCCAAAACCCTTCGACCGTGGTCGCACCCCTGCAAGAAATGATGTATCCGCCACTGAAAGCAATATGATTCTCATAGCACAATCTCATAATTGTTATTTATACTGTATAGTTGTCTATTTCCTCGTGGCCATATAAAGGAATAATCTAGCGTCTGTGGCCTGCTTGGCAACTGAGCAAAATAAATATTGTGGTGGTACTGTATACAATAACAATCAAATAAAGATACATAAAGCAAGATCTGTATCACAAAGATATCTGTCATTTTATATTGGTATTTCCTCGTACTCTTGTAGGTCTATCCCGTTGGTATGTGTTACCCGCATAACTTGGCCGTCCCGACCTTCTTCAACCAACTTCATAAACGCCTCTACAACAATAGACACTCTGAAAGAAAGGCTCAAAGAATAGTTAGATGCTACACTGCCTGAATTACCATTTTAAAGAATTTCCAACATAAACATAGCTGCGACATTTCTAGTGTCTATAAGTTGAGAATTACAAGCCTACAGTCGCCCTCCTTCGAGACCACGTTGGGACCAACATGAAATTTTGGCCCGTGGTGTCTAGATTTGTTCCCAATTGGTGGGTTAGGTTTGTGTTAAAAGATTAAAGATTGTTCTTTGAAAAAGTGGTTTCGGAATTAGAGGTGGTCTCGAATTGGAGAGTGCATAGTTTTAAACCTTACGCTTGATGATATTTCGTTAGATTAATTCAATCAAAAATTGGTCTAAGCCCAACGGGGCCAAGGTGTAGGTTTACATCTACTCTTATTGTACATATTATAAATAGTAACTAAACTTAACTCACGGTTGAACATTGAAATTACTCAGTAATTTGCTTAAAAATTCCTTTGTTTCTGGAGTGATTAAAGCGGTGTCGGTATACGATGGGCAGAGAGCATTCAGTCGTATACTATCTGACTTTAGCATAGGGCTAGCCTAAACATATAGAAAAATGATAATAAACCATTGACGTTACAGCCAATATACGGTAAATTTAGGAGCGCTTATGTTGTTATTGATCATTTTTCCCCCATTTTTTGATGTTATATAAATATGCCTATGAATAACTATACAGAAGTTGATAGTGAAACGGAACTGCGTCTGTAAAAACCGCAAACGTTAATTGTAGAGGCCTAATGTGTTCCCATACTTGTCTCCTTTATTGTAGTTGTGGGCCAATATGTGAGATCGGGACTGACCGCAATGAGAAATCTAACAAATCGGTCTCAAATGCTACTTCCACTGTTTAAGTTCTCCTTTGGCTTTGGGAAATTTCCAATGCCCTTCACTCGATATTCTCAACGTCAATATTTTCTTGACGGTAATGGAAATTCTATTAATAATGGCTAGGCCAACCTTGGTGGTCTAACTCATAATAAAAATAAGAAAAAAAAAGTATTACGAACCGCTAGGCTTCGGCTTAACCCCACGACTCCGTGCTTTGAGGCAGCATATACAGGACAGAATGGTACATCTCGAAGTCCTAAAAACACAAGAATGATGCAAACAGTATTCGAAAAAAAATTATAATTTCCAACTATTTGCTCGATATTTTTAAATATTAAAATTGATTTTGCTACTGACCAGCTAATGAGGCGATATTTACAATAACGCCTCCTCTGCCGCCATTTGCTTTACTCATATATTTGATAGCTAAGTGACTCCCTCGAATAACTGCAATCTGAAAATATATGAAATGCAACAAATTATATAGAAACAAATATAATTATAATAATTATGTTTATTATATTGAACAATCACCTTCACTTGACAGTTTTAAGTCACTAAGGTATTCAAGACACACCTCCTTAATAGTCTCTTTTTTTGGAACCGCACCACGAGCAACGCATGTTGGAATGCTGCAGTATAAATGGAACGATTGATTGATTAATTGATTGGCTGATTGATCGATCGATCAATCGATTGGTTGATAGCCTAAGAAATAATACAATTATTTATAGAGATCACTCTGATATTCCAATGCTATACAACTAATCAATAAACTAAAAAACTAAAATTAAAACGTTGTTAAACAAATTAGTTAAGTAATGTTTGTGTCAACTTACCAGGTTTATTTCGACCATTTTTTCCCAGTTGGCTTCATTAGCAATTCCAGCATTGTTACACACCAAATCAATTTGTCCAAATTGGTTTTTAATTTCACTGAAAGCATCTAAAATATTTCAGACACCGGATCAGCATGAGAAAGATATAGTTTTTCATATAAGTTTAGATATAACATGCATCTTTTGATCATTAACAAATCATCTTTTTAAAGTTTTCAACAATGTTTTACCTTCTAATTGTTGTTTATCTGAAACGTCACAATGTATGAAATGAACTTTCTCATTGCCATATTCGTTGGCCAGTTCTTTTAGGGTTGCTTCTCCTTTTGATTTCTGAATATCTAAAATACCGACAGCCTAAAAGCAAGAACGGGAATATGGTAAGATCTCAAAATTAAAAAATAAAAATATAAACTGGAGTATATATGATACAAAATTTACAATACAGACATCACAACACTTTGTTAACAACCAGAAGACAGACGAACGATTTTCATATGCATATCCTAATAAATGCATATTAAGTAGTATTTAGAATAATATTGAGCAACTGGTCTCTAAAAAAGATAGGCCTAAGCAGAGCAACTGAAGTGAAAAAAGCAGAAGATTTTGCTTGTCATAATGGAAAGAGTAGAACGCATGGCGCATCACTGTATTCGGATAAATGGTAGCACTAAAACAGTAAACAGGAAAACTCATCTCATTCCTTCATGAAGTGGCTATAAGATCGAGGTATTCGTTAACACCTGCCAGCGCGACTATACTATATAATACAAGAAGTTAAAAAAAGAGTGAAAGAGTCGCACATGACTCACTCAAATACACACACAAACACACCCACACATACACTGACTACAAAGATGGCACTTTGTCTCGCACCCACTTCGCTTGCTTGCTTCACATCAGTGGTCTTTTTTATTGGTGTATCAGCTGTATTATTCGCCTTATAGATCCATTGATTGAATAAACTGAAGTAAACATATAAATAATATAAAAATGGTGAAAATGAAAATTCAATCTTTAGAAAGTGATATTGTTTTTCTTAAAATATTGAAATGTACTCTGAATAGAGATAAATTAATTCCATTCCAATCATATCTATTGCATCCTCCCTATGGTCATGTAGACACTATATTTTTTTATTTTTTTATTTATTTATTTTCATATCATAAATACGGAATATGCTTCACACTAGTACGAACCTTGATCTGTTTTTTCAACAGTTCTTCAGCAAAAGCCCTTCCAAGACCCTCAGCTGCACCAGTAATCAATGCTACTTTACCGGACACTTCCATGTTGGCTTCTTTGCAGTTTCCTTCTGAGCTTCCACGTAAACTATTCCACTTTTATGACTGCTAAACGGAATAGATATAAAATTTAACTACAATTTTGATCTCATTCTCATACACATATCATAAAGCAAAATAAATCTCATTACAGAGGTACCGGTATATTTATAGTTAGGCTCTACATTAATATTATTCAATTTTCGTCAATCGTTTCCGAATCTGTAGCATGATTCTTCTTTAACGGTTGTGGTGGTTGTATGACGGACTTTCGACTTCTTGAGCCTTAGTTTCAAAATATCCCACTTGTGACACCAATTAATAACTACTCAACAGAGTCGTCCATCATGCATGCAACTACTTTTATTCAGCGCAGCATAGTGTAACACATCATTACAATGGATGCTGAAGAAACTCCCAAGATAATAGTGCAAGATGGAGAAACGATTATATATTCTGGCAAAAAATAGTTCTTTATATTGTTATGTTTTAAATATTTGTTTTCTTCACATACAACAGAAATAAAAGTAGACTATTCGATTACAGAATAGATATGTAAAACTCAGTTCTCTAAAACACAAATTTAAACTTAAAAGTGTGGTCTACTCTATTCTATTCTAGCCTTTCATTTGCAAGTTCCTTATTTTTCCTTTTGTGACACTTTTTTTCAATTTTTTAAACATGTAGCATCTCATTTGCCCGTCCCGGTATCAAAGGGGATCTAGAACAGGAGATACCCATAATCTGTTTCGGTGGTGTAAACTTACCCCACAGGCCCCATCTTCTCTTAATCCCCATACCGTCTCATCACCATAACCAGTAGCGATCCATGAATTTGTAATAGAGAAAGCCCAGGGAGGGAGTTTGACAGATGGAGCGTCTATACCACCTCAGCCCCACTATAATTGGGGTAAGAAAATTTACGATTATGGCCGGAAAAGTTTGAATGTAATTTTCTATTTTTCTCATTAATTTTTTAAAATTTTTAAAAAATTACAGGGAATAGGGCCGGCTGCCCCGCCCAACCCTTGCATCCGCCACTGATAACACAACAATAATCAGCATCGTATGTATGTAATCATCAAAATACGATGGCGCTGCACAGGCAAACAATGTGATATATTCAGATTCAGAAACCTAGATGAGTTTTTCGATAGCGCAGAGCGAAGACTTGTTGGAAAGCAGGGCTTAAATGCACTTGAAGTTCTTCAGTGTAGATTTACTAGAAAGTTGAGGACACTATCATTTTTAAGGATTAATATGATGCTGATTTATTATGTCGTGACGACATCTAATCCAAAATCCAATCCAATCGAACGTATAATAATAGTAACAATGTACTTTTTTATAGCGCCATATCCATCTCACATAAGATGCCCAGGGCGCTTTATATGTGGACTAGGAACTTGATCAATGACTTTCTTCACCCCTAAGGGTCTATTCGTGTCCGTGCTCCCACCAGAGGGGATGTCTGTTCCAGTATCCCGGGCCGGGGTATCCCTGACTCGTCTCGAAGGATGTACTGGGTTTTTTATAGTGCACACGCGCCATTGGACCTACGGTTTAGTCCTTATCCGAGAAGACTTGTTCTACCACTAGGACCATAGGTGAGCGTGCCGTTCGAACCAGCGCCGATATTATGGCTGTAACTTGCGGCGCCCCTGCTAACCGCTCGGCCATTTGGCTCGCATAATACTAAGGTCTATTATACTATGTAGGGCCTATATAAATGGATTTATTCGATGTAAACACCATTGATAACCAACGAAAGTTCGAAAAAGACAGTGGGGGGGGGG